ATCGCTCTATTATATGATATTCCTACCCTATGCACTTGTCGTCACTACAAGAAAGTGTAAGGTGATATTGAAATAACATTGCGATTTATATTATGGATATTGTCACGATATCCTACACGATTGATATATTATGCATGTATTGACATTGATGATATTTTTTTTAAGAAACATTGGTGATCTCACAATATATGAAAAGTTGGTTCCCATCAATCTTTTTTTTTAAGAAACATTACCAATAAACTATAAGAACAACTCAGTCACATCATACTATCACTGAAGTATTATAAAAATAATATTTGGAACCTCTAGGAATCACATACCAACACAGCAAAAGGTTATAGCCACACATATTTGACGAAATCGGGAGGACATGAGTCAGAGAAAAACTAATGCTAACTTTCGAAGTAGTTGCGCTTTTCCCAAAACGATGCCATGGCCACCGTTTTCCCCCTTAGTGATTCAGGACAATTTCTGACCTTGAAGGTATCTTAGAGGCAGAGCAACCCTTTATAATGTGTTGTCTTGATTGGAGCTCAAGGGGTCTATTTATAAGTTCGCAAATTAAGTTTTTAAGAGGTTTTATATCTTAGGAATATATCTTGCTTGAGGTCAAACATATTCTAGCACTTGGAGTCAAAATAATCCTTCTTACTGAAATGGCAAATTTGGCGCCATTTGAACTTCCAGCGGACAATTATGCCCGTCACTTTCGGCTAGTGTGTCTGATCAACTTTTTTGGGCCATATCTCACTCATCCAACCTCCAAAATCCACTTACATTTTATCTCAAACGCTCGTATTCTCGTTCTCTATGAAACCATGTCGAGACTCCATGATAAATGGACTTGCTTGAACAAATAATTTTTAAGTTTAGGTACTAATTTGTTAGAAAAAATTTTGATTCTAAAATATAATTTTCCAACAATTATAATGTGTGACAAAAGATTCTCAAAATTGGAATAATTAACACATAATACCTAATACACCATAAAATAAAAAATTGAATATCCAATCAATAAATTTGAATTATATATATTTCAAAAATATATATATATATGGCGAGTTCTACGGTACCCCGGGTGAAATCCCGGGTACCGCATACATTGAGTATGAAAACACTATCCAGACCTTGAATTGACTGATCTTTCTGACATGATAATATACTCTAACCCTTGAAGATCAATATCTAGGTCTTATTTCTCTAAATCTTATACCCTAAGATCAATTTTATTATAAACAATAATCGACGGTTATAATTCGTCCAAATATAGGCAAAAAATGGTAATGACTGGTGTACGTCAGGCGTATACTATACGTCTGGTGATCTAGCCATTAGATGTACTTACATGAGTTCCGGCCGATCTCAACGGTCAATTTTTGTTTTTCAATAAATCAAACTTCGGGTTGGGGTTTAGAAAATCGGTGCCTGGGGTTTATCCATTAGAGGTTAGGGTATAGTATCATACCCCAAACTCGATTTAATTCATGGTCTAGACAGAGATATCTCACTCGTAGTACCTGACATATAGTATACGCCTGACGTACGCCAGTCTAACCCATATATATTTCAATTCATACACTTGGAATACAAATATTTAAAGGGTTAATACCTTATTTTGGCCCGAACTATGATCATATAATCAACTTTGGCCTGTGGTTTCAGAAATTAACATCCTGGCATCAACTATGCAGCATATAGACTCAATTGACCCGACACATGGTTTGACTGTTAACCGTTAGTCAACGCGCCATGTCATTGCCTCGTCAGCCTAGAAATTATTAAAAAATTCAAATTAAAATTATTTTTCTAATTTCTATTATTTATCATTTTCAAATTAACTAAAAAATAAAATTTAAATAATTTTATAATTTTAATTTTTTGGTTAATTTGATAATGATAAATTAGGAAAATTAGGAAAATAATTTGAATTTGAATATTTTTAATGATTTTTATGCTGACGAGGCAATGACATGCGTGTTGACTAACGGTCAACGGTTTTGACCGTCCTAATTGACGGTCAAACCATGTGTCAGGCGAATTGAGTCAATATGTTGTATAGTTGAGGCCAGGATGTTAATTTCTGAAACCACATGCCAAAGTTGATTATATGATTATAGTTCAGGCAAAAATAAGGTATTAACACATATTTAAATTATATCTATCCAAACATGCGGTTAAACTTTTGCATCCGGCTGTGATCATATTTATTGGACTTCATTATGCACTTCTCGTTTGTAGGTGCTTGTTTTGTTGATTGCCTACAAGTTTAGCGATCGAGGACAAGCAGGCATTTTCATAGGCTACCCTAGTAACCAGAAAGGTTATCGCATCTTTGATTTACAGACTCGCCGCGTTGTGGTTTCCCGAGACTTGCACTTCGTCGAGGATTCATTTCCTTTCCGAGAGAACTCCATAGCAGCGCCGCTGCCATCCTTGCCCTCTGCCGTTTCTTACCAACTGCATGTGCATGATCTTCACATGCAAAGCACGTGTGAGCCTAATGGTCAAGGGGAGCTTTTGGCCGCTGATGACGAGCCGGTGGATACAGTTGGGTCTCCACCAACCGAGCCCGTTGTACCTGATGTGATCCCTCCTTCCGAGCTGCAAGGGGACACGCCGACTCGAGCTCCTGCCTCGCCACCTCCTGATGCGTCGACTGTCGAGGAGACCCGAGCTCCTGCCTCGCCACCTCCTGCTCAACTTGTGCTGCCTCCCCGCAATCCGGAGCGAGTTCGACACGTCCCCAGCTACTTGGATCCCTATGAGGTATAACTTCCTAGTACTTCTTCCCATTCGGTCTTGTTTCCTCTTTCTGATCACGTTAGCTATCATCGTTTTTCGGCTAACTACTGTGATTTTTTGGCCACCATGGCTGCGCATGTTGAGCCTCGCCATTTCTCTCAAGCTGCTCAATACCAGCAATGGCGTGAGGCCATGCAGCGGGAAATCAATTCCCTTGAGTCTAACGGGACATGGACACTTAAGCTTTTGCCGCCAGGAAAGAGAGCCATCGATTCGAAGTGGGTATACAAAATCAAGTATAAGCCTGATGGGTCCGTCGAACGGTACAAAGCGCGGCTTGTGGCCAAAGGCTTCACGCAGTTGGAAGGAATTGATTTTCATGATACTTTCGCCCCTGTAGCGAAGTTAGTCACCGTCCGTGTCTTGCTAGCTGTGGCTGCTCAGCGTGGATGGCCTCTTCGTCAGCTTGACGTCAATAATGCATTTCTTCACGGCGACTTAAAAGAGGAAGTTTATATGAAGGTACCTCAAGGGTTTGCTAAACTGGGTGATCAGCGTGTTTGTCGCCTTCGCAAATCTCTTTACGGTCTTCGTCAAGCTTCACGAAATTGGTATGCCAAGTTCACTGCTGCTCTCCTAGAGTTTGGGTTCACGGTGTCTCGAGCAGACCATTCCCTCTTTCTCTACGAGGCTGGCGGGGTTTCTGTTATGGCATTAATTTACGTCGATGTTGTCGTCCTTACTGGTAATGACGATGAGTGCATTGCTCGGCTGAAAGCCTTCCTGCATGATCGGTTAAGCATCAAGGATCTGGGGCCCCTCAAGTATTTCCTGGGTATTGAGGTTGCCCGGTCTGCTGACGGGATTGTCTTATACCAGCGTAAGTATACTCTGGATATCTTGGCGGAGTCGGGATTGGGTGCTGCTCGGCCTAGTAGCTTCCCGATGGAGCAGAATCACACCTTGACACGGCCGACTGTTGATCAGGTTGCTGATGTTAGCTCCTACCGCCGGCTCGTGGGCCGTCTTCTCTATCTCACTATTACTCGACCTGACATTGCCTATGCGGTCAGTATATTGAGCCAGTTTGTGCGGTCACTATACTGCTGCTCACCGTGTCCTTCGCTACCTCCAGAATTCTCCGGGACAGGGTCTTTTCCTCCCGTCGACAGGTTCTTTGACATTGACTGCCTATAGTGATGCAGATTGGGCAGGTTGCCAGTCCACGCGTAGCTCCATGACAGGGTATTACATTCAGCTGGGAGGTGCTCCGATATCTTGGCTGGCTAAGAAGCAGAAGGTGGTAGCCCGCTCTTCCGCTGAGGCGGAGTACCGTGCCATGGCCAGTGCTACCAGTGAGGTTTTGTGGCTCCGTTTGCTGTTGAGTGAGCTCGGGGCACCGCAGACTGCTTTACACATTGCAGCCAACCCCGTCTTCCATGAGCGCACTAAGCATGTGGAGATGGACTGCTATTTCGTTCGTGAGCGTGTTGTCTCCGGCGAGATTCAGCCGTGTAAAGTTCACTCCAACTCGCAACTGGCGGACATTTTCACCAAAGCTCTTGGCACAGACAAGTTTCATGTTCTTTTGTCCAAGCTTGGCATTTGTGACCTTCATGCTCCAGCTTGAGGGGGAGTATTGGACTTCATTGTGCACTTCTCGTTTGTAGGGTGCTTGTTTTGTTATTTGCCTTATAACCCACGTACATTGTTGAGGGTATAAAGGGGGTTAATTGTATGGTTGGTCACTGAGATTACAAAAAACGTTCATGTTTGGTCACTGAAAATATTTAAATCCAACCTTGGTCACTCAAATTAGTTAAATGGTTCAAATTTGGTCACTCTCCGTCCAACTCCGTTAAATTTGTCTGATGTGACAGTCAACCCTCAAAGTTGACCGTTAACTCAGTGACGTGGCAATTAAAAAATAATAAATAAAATAAATTTTAATCTTCTACCATTTCCAACTCATTTTCACAATAAAGGAAAATGAAAAAATAAAAAATTATTATAATCACAAATCGGGCTCGGCCTTGTCGACATCTTTTCTCCGATCCCCTAAAACCTCCATTAATGAAGCGCCAGTACGATTACTCCATGGTCCCTCCAATCTATACAGAAAATTCGCAGCTTTCGTTTTGCCAGAGTAAACCCCAAAAAAACAGAGTGTGCTGAGAGTGAAAGCCTTACTCTGTTTTTTTTTTTTTTACATTTTTTTGTTTACAAACAGAGCAACGTCGGGCTCATCAATTCCCTTCTCCTCATTTGCCGTTGTGGGTTTGATCCTCCTCTTCGCCGACGGACCCGCTTCTGCCCGGATTCAAATCCCGGCGAACGAATCCGTGCCGGCAGCTTTAGTGTTCGGCGATTCAATCGTCGATACGGGGAACAACAACAAGATCCTTACTTCCCCTGCTAGATGCAACTTCTCGCCCTACGGCAAGGATTTCTACGGCGGAGTTCCCACCGGAAGATTCTCGAACGGGAAGGTCCCGTCCGATTTCCTAGGTTCGTCTTATCGTTTCAATTCATCAAATTCAGAATTCCTTTTTGGTTCGCTAAAAATTGGGTTTCCTCTGTTTTCCTTTTTTGGCAGTGGAAAAATCAAAACCCACTACAGTTTCCTTTTGCCGCCACCACATCCCTTCCACTGCCTTCGCCTCCTTCAAGAATGAAACCGTCGAAGCTGCGGCGATGATGAGCCTGACTTCCATCCTAGACAGCAAGTCCTTCTCCGACCTAAAAAACCCATTCTCCCCTGAACTCGCTTCTCCCGCCGCCGCCGACGCTCCCAAGCGGAGCCAGTACTGGGAAAACCTCGATTCCCCTAAAACCTCAATTTGTGATTATCATAATTTTTTTTTTACTTTATTGTGAAAATGATTTGAAAATGGTAGAAGATTAAAATTTATTTTATTTATTATTTTTTAATTGTCACGTCACCGAGTTAACGGTCAACTTTGAGAGTTGACTGCCACATCAGACAAATTTAACGGAGTTGGACGGAGAGTGACCAAATTTGAACCATTTAACTAATTTGAGTGACCAAGGTTGGATTTAAATATTTCCAGTGACCAAACATGAACGTTTTTTATAATCTCAGTGACCAACCATACAATTAACCCGTATAAAGGCTTCTATTCTTTGACCTAGCAAAAACCTAAGAGAGGGTTTTGTCGTACTGTACCGATATCAAGATAGTGAAGCTCCTTTCATGAGAGTTAGTCTCTCCGTGGATTAGTCTCGTTCGCCTTGAACGAGGATACCACCTTAATATCGTGTGTCATTATATTTCCGCACTCATCAAGTTTTACAATATTAATCAGTAATCGTGAAAAATGTACCCAAACAAAGACGCGAGGCGGCAACTTCTATGTTAACTTGAAATTTTCTTCAATAGATCAACTATCAAGTAATGATCGTAGATAAGTAGATAACCTATGCACCTTTTGAAAGAGAGATATAATATTCTTTTTAATTGGGTAGTAAAGCTCCCAACGTCCAACGAAGCAGTCGTGATCAGGTGTAAAAAGCGGTCGATTTCCACATTACTTTCGGTAGTAATTATAGAGAGGTCAGTGCCACCCATATTTTGTATGTATATCATCAAATATAGAAAGAGGCCCACGGCTGAGCCCACTTCCATAACTTCTCCACCGCCAGATGCCAGTCCGCCACTCGTTCGGGCCATTATACGGGTGGAAATCGTTACAGGCACTTAGACCGTTCACATCCATAAAATACCATTTCTATTTCATATGTGGTCCCTACGGCCACTTCAACAACTTTTCTCATTTCACTCTATACCAATTTCATTTCCTCTACATTAATGACATCCACTTTCTATTTCAAGTAGTGGCCCAATTGATTATTTTAATACAACTCTACATTTTATCTAAAAGAAATGAAAAAGAAAAAAAAAAAGATGAAGCAAAACCGTGGGAAAGGGCCCACATTTACCCCACTTGCAATTTCATTCTCTATTTCATTAAGTGACAGCTTCCATTATTTGAAGACAGGGCTACAACCGTGAAATGGAGAAAGACAGATGCCATGTCACAATGGAATTGGGCAATGAAAGGAAATCTCGAATAGTGAATGACACTCTCAAATCAATCTCAACTTCTAAATAATTTTGGTATTTTGATCTCAATCTTTAAATATTTCGGTATCACAATCGATATTATCGAATACAAAACTAATTATCTTTGTAATTAATAATTAAATATGTAAGTTAGAATTGGTTGTCTAATTTGCGACAAAAATATTAAGCAAAGTGTCTTGCGTTTTTCTAGAGATAGGAAATGGATAAGGAGAATATATGAGAGGTGGCATCTCCAGCGGCAGATCCAGAACATGTTAGAGCACTGGGCCGCATTTAAAAAGCGATGGAGAGGGTTGGGCCGTAACCGAATAAACACTGAAATATATAGCCAAAATCGAAAATTTACAAGTACTATACGAGCTTTGGATCCGGGGAGGGCTGGGCCGTGGTCCGGGGGCGGCCCCCCTAGATCCGCCGCTGGGCATCTCAAGTTCTTGGCATTGGTAATCTTTAATTCGACGGACTAGAGGTTGAGAGACGACTAATACTAGTGTTTACTTTTGGTGTTATGAAAATAACAAAAAATTGGGTGAGACGAGAGTGAGTTAAACTGAAATGCCAAAATTGGGTTGGATGGGGGGCTTATGAGTTGTGAAAGAGTGAAATGATCAACGATTGTGTGCTATATTTCATTAATTTTCAATTTTCACTGCTTATCGGTATTTCGGTATATACCAATCTCAATCTCGTGATCTCGATACCGAATAGCACTTCAAAATGAATCTCAATCTCATTTCCTAAATAATAAATCGGTATTCGATACCAAATAGTGATTCTTTTCGATACGGTATTCGGTATATTCCAAATACTGGTACCAAACTTCCAGCCATAATTATACCCTTATCTAGTAAGGTCCCACCGTGTATGACTAACTAAATGGCAACCCTGTACTGCGGATTTTTCCCCGTGGCTTGTATGCATATATTTATTTGGTGGTATTTGATACGAGCACAGATCATGTACTCGTAGTTATCAAAGTACACAACTTCAAGAACAAACAAGAAACATACTTTTTTGGGGATTTATTTTGATTGGGATAGGATTGAATTGAAAGTGCAATCTCAACATGAAATCGGGAGAAGGCTCTATCAATATAATAGGTAGAATCTCGACCACAATCAAGGGAAAAATTTAATTGATATAGAGAAAAGTTCAAGTCTAAAGCTCAAAACCAAGATAAAATCAATATTCTACCAAACATTAACCCTAAAACTCGAGTTTCAGCGTTTATATAGACGTGAATCATTAAAATTAACAAAAACAACTTAAAACACAAAATCCAGTCACCTAGGTCAAAATACCCAATAGGACCCTAATAGTACCCGGTCGGGTAATTCTTCTCCACGATCGGGGGGTAGCCCAGGTCGAGGATTTGTTTGCCCTGGCCGGGTATTTTCCCTTTGCCAGCCCTTCATATCTCGTTGGGGTCACATCAGTAATTTTAAATCAAAATGTTGCATTATTTTAGTATGTGCCACTAATTTTGTTGTTTGGATAGAATTATATTGAGGTATTTCACCACTTAAAAAAAGAAGAAGGTTTGAGTTAATTAAAATGTCTAGGAAATGAGGTATTTCAATTGTTGCGAGCCACAAAATAACTCAACATACCACAATCCATTTTTTATTTGCCAAACGAATTATTTTCAACCTAAATAACTCAACCTAAGTTAATTCGAATCAAATAACTCATCCAATTGTTGTATCCAAGTGACTCACTAAACTATTGCACTATGTTTGACAAGGGATGCATATGAAGGGAGTAAATTGCATTTCGAATGCATTTGCCCCTATTTAGATGTTTTTTATTAGTGACAAGGTGAGCAAATAAGGATAAGATCTACATAAAATTAATATTTATTTTACGTATGTATGCATTGTTATTTTTAATAACTATTTTGTGACTAATTAATATGTTAGGTAACTGTTGCATTATGATATTAATTATGTCTCTTATGATGGTACGAGAAACTATTATAATGACTAAAAGATAATAATAAATTTTTAATTATTATTAGCATTATTAAATGTAGATTGTGCTTGCAGAGGTGGACCCACCTCTGACACACCTTGATCCGAAATTTTTGTGAGGAACTCATATTTTTTAAATAAAAATTTCGAACACGAGACCTCTGACACACCTTCGATAATTGTAACCGACACACCTTATTACATTATAAATTTTTTGTTGTCATAATGTTATTAATATTTGTATATAGGAGTTATCAGATTTCAAACTAGGCATTTAATTAGTTGTTTGTACAAGAGTACTAAACAATTAATTGGTTACTTAGTACGTAGCGAGTATTCAGAGAGATAGTAAATAAACAAAAAAATTTACTCTTGTGGCTACCCTTTCAGCTTGCAACCTAGTGGACAAATGTAATTAAGAAATCTTTCAGAATATGATAATTCGTCATGGTTCACTATAAAAAACAATGAAATTGGTGAACTTTATGAATAAAATTTTATATTATTTTTAATTATTTATTTATTTTTAATTTAGTTAATTTTTATTTTAAACTTATTTTTATCGACCGACACACCTATCTCAAAATCATGGGTCCGTCACTGGGTACTTGGGTGCATTATTTGACTCCGATGGGAAAGTTTGTAAACTGGGCTTCAATTGATGACTTGCTAAAAATGTTGGTCAATTGTTGACTCCAGTTATATCAATCTGCGATTTGATATGTCAATTTCACCCCAATTTAACAATCATATCAACAAATCAATGCCCGAGCCATTTTATGAGCTAGCTATATATCTTGGTCATTGAATGAGTCTGGAGCTGACTCATTCTTCTTGAGGTTGCTCCACCAACTATTATTTAAATAGATCTAACATTATTTAAAATTTTAATAACTAATGTTTTTCTGGAGTGTTATAATTAATGATTATTATATCAAAGCATATTTATTATCTTAATAAAAATTTATGGAGCATGTTTATTATTAAAAATTTTATTTTATTATTTAATATTTATTTAGGTGTGTAAATAATTATCATAATATTTTATTATCTTTAGTTATAATAATATAATATACATACTTTTCATCCATTTTACACCTCCTTACCTTTTTCATTCCAAACAATATTTTTCATATTCACTTACACCTGCAATTTAATCTGGCCAGATCGGTGTAGTGTGCAACGATTAAGGAAGAAGATCGATGAACATAACTGCGATCTAAATATATTGCACAGGCATAAGTGATAAACATTTTGAATGTCCAAAATTTCTTTTGGGTGAATAGGGCTGGGAAAACGGTTGCGGTTTCGCGGTTAAACCGATAACCGCACAGAAATCGCGAGGTTATTGGTTACCGCGAACCGCAAAAATAACCTATTTGCGGTCGCGGTTGGAGATATTGGCTGTTTTGCGGTTTAACCGCAACCAAAACCGCAAATAGCTCTAACAACAATGCTAACCGCAAAAAGATGGCCCAATCAATTTCTAGTCCAGCCCAAAGTCACAAACCCCAACCCCACCCTAGCCCAACCCGACCCAGCCCCTTACTTCCCCCTTTTTCTTGCGTTTGTTTTGAAATGATCAGCTATTAGAAGTAAA